TTTAGCACTGGCGTCTCCTGATTGTTGGGTGTTTTTCTCATAAGTTACTCTCAACAAGTTTTCAATAGTATTAATAATACATACATTTTGTTACGTAAGTAGTGAAATCACGGCAAATGGAAACCAGTAGGAGTTTTGTGTTGACATTACTGCAGTGAGAGACTCTCCTGGTCTCTCGCTGTGTTTCAGAGCTGCGTGCATGACGCAGTGTCACACGTTACCTGTAGTGCATGGCAGGTGACAGGTGAGACCTGATTGTGCCAGGTGCATTTCAGCCTCTGCTATGAAGTGTTAACACATGTTTAAAAATACTTTCCATTTCTGTATTTACCTTAGCACGTAATACTGCACGTGGCTTCGTGTACCTGCATGGGACTTGCTGTTGTTTTAGAGCCAGGAGTTGCCTGAGTTCATTTCAAAGGTTATTGAACTCAGTTTATGTTTACAGAAGTTCACTGGCTTTGCTTTCTCTTTAAACCTCAGTTTAATTTGACCTCGCACTGAGCTGGAAGAAAACAGTGTTTTTAAATGGGTTTATGGAAGTCAACGGACTTAAAAAGTGTTATGGTTAAACCACGCTTAAGGAATGATGAGTATAAATATACTGAAGCAATAAAAGGATTTATGAACTGATATAACAGATAAGCAGTGATTTTTTTTTCCTTTAACATGTCCAATTTTAGGCTAGTTTGTGAATTCTTTTGACACTCTTATTCTGTCTTTAATAAAATGAAGAAAATGGCATCTACATTCTTGGGGTATTTTGTTTATGTAACTGTGTGCATCCGGCAGGGCCCGAATGATCCTCTGGCTTTTTCGCTTTGGTGCTGGGGCAGTCCCGGTTGGGCAACGCGCCACATCCCCAGACAAGGCAGGCAAAGGGACAGGGGCAGCGGCAGGAGGAACAGTGACAATAATGAGGCTGATTGCAATTCACATCAGATTCACAGTAGGTCTGTCCAAAGAGACTCTTTTTTCAAGCAAATGACTTGGAAACTTGGCTGTGTTCCTTTGCTGAGGCCTTACTCGAGAGCTGCAGAAATGCGTCCCAAGCTCAGTTTTTCTGAAGGAACAACAAGAATATTAATATGTACAAATATCTGAGGGGAGAATGTATAGAGGATGGGGCCAAAGTCTCGGTGTCGGTGGCCAGTGACAGGACAAGGGGCAATGGGTGCAAATTAAAATGCAGGAAGTTCCATCTCCACGTGAGGAAGAACTTCTTTACTGTGAGGGTGACAGAGCCCTGGAGCAGGCTGCCCAGAGAGGCTGTGGAGTCTCCTTCTCTGGAGATCTTCCAAACCTGCCTGGATGCCACCCTGTGCCACGTGCTCTAGGTGTCCCTGCTGGAGCAGGGGGTTGGACTAGGTGATCTCAAGAGGCCCCTTCCAACCTCACCATGCTGTGATGCTGTGTGATGTGTGAATACCTAGAAAAAGGCACCGCCAGGCTCGGGGTGGGTGGAGGGCAGAGCCAGGGCGCGCAGCAGCGCTCCCGAGGCGCCCGCGACCCCCCTGCCCGGTGCGAGGCCCGGCGGGCTGCGCTGCGCTGCGCAGAGCG